ACAATGTGGTCTTACATCTTCAAAAAAGCTGCTAAGCCACAAATCTTCTCATTAACTTGTTAATAGGTTGTGTTTTCATGCTATCTGGGAACCAAAATCTGTTTCTGTTTTCAAAATCGACATTTAGAAGAATATTAGGACTCTTTACATACAAAGACAAATATGACTCTTCAGTCAGCATGAAAACCAAGCATTTCTCCCTTCATGCTGGAGGAAAAAATTGGATTGTCTTTCTTCCAGTAGGCCATTCACACTTGTTCATGAAACCCATTGTCTCCTATGATACCAGAAGACCTGTTCAATACATGTTAGGATAAAACAAGTAGATTCTGACTATTAAGTGTTTAAGCTAAAAATCTAATGCAGATACATATATGGAGCTCTTCCTCTACCTAATCCTGAAATGCCAGTTACCTTGGGAAGCACCAATTCTTATTGAAATTAAGAATTGATTGATTTACCTTCTGCCAAATTCTTACTCTTTCCCCAGTTACAAAGTTGTTATATAACTTTTCATTTGCTAAAAAAAGCTCTAGAGTAGTAATGCTACATAAGCTTTCATTCACCATGGACGTCTGAATATCTTATTAAAGCATATCATGATTGAGCCATTTAAATAATGTAACTTTCACATTTAAATAGTATATATTTTTTAAAAGTGTTCTGTTAAGAGAATTAGACATTTTCTTCCATGAAAATTGAACTCATACTTATTAGTAGTAGGAACAAAAGACATTTTGCAGTTCATTTTTCATCCCTTAACAGGTAGCCCTCAAATTATGACCGTAATGGAGCTTGTCCATCACGGTTGTAATTCCTGACAGTTCTAAAATAGGTTGGTTATGTGACAGACCCAATTTTCAACTTTTTTGTGGCAGAGTTAAGTGAATCACTGCAGCCATTAATCGAATCCACAATTGTCAAGCAAACCAATGGTTCACTATGGGCACAGTTTTGCTAAAAACCAGAAGTAAATGCAGGTTTTCAACAAAACTGTTGTAAGGACGAGGGGGGACATGATAGCAGTGTTCCAATATCTCAGGGGTTGCCATAAAGAAGAGGGAGTCAAGCTATTCTCCAAAGCGCCTGAAGGCAGGACAAGAAGCAACGGGTGGAAACTAATCAAGGAGAGAAGCAATCTGGAACTAAGGAGAAACTTCCTGACAGTGAGAACAATTAACCAGTGGAACAACCTGCCTCCAGAAGCGGTGAATGCTCCAACACTGGAAGTTTTTAAGAAGAGACTGGACAGCCATTTGTCCGAAATGGTATAGGGTTTCCTGCCTGAG